TTTGGACTATGAGATGGACACTTGCTTCTTGCACTTTATGTTGCACTTTACTTTTGGATTTCATTTGGTTTAATGAAATATAGTTTAATAAAATATTCTTAAGTACAATTGTTGATTTTTTGGTGGGAAATTAATCGTTTAGATTAATCGATAAATTAGTCGATAGATTAATTGAAATAAAAATAGTCGTTAGTGGCAGCCCTACTTTATTGTGACGTTATATGTGTATGGGTGTTAATGGTTAAAGGTCTGAGCTGGTAATCCTAAAGGTCATAGGTTTAAACCTGGAAGAGATGATCCCTGAACTGGAGAGTTAATGAGACTCCCTCTTGGTTAAGGTGCCGAACCCCCGGCACAAGCATGTGTGGCAAGTGTGTCAAAAGTTCCTTGAAATTCCTGCATTCTGTGTATTCCTGTGATGGCAAAACTTGTTTTCATAAGCCATTACTCTAGTGTCACATGATCCTTCAGTAATCATTCTAATATGCTGATTTGGTGCTCAAGAAATATTTTTATTTTGAGCAATGTAAACATGAAAACATTGCTGCTTAATATTTTTTTTCAGAATTCTTTGTAAAATAGAAAGTTCAAAAGAGCAACATTAACTTGAAAAATAAATCTTTAAATTAAACATAAATGTCTTAAATGTAAATTTTGGTCAATTTAATGCACCTCTGAATAAAAGTATTAATTTATTTTAATAATAGTATTTTAATAATAAAAATCTTACTTACTCCAAACTTTTATATTGTAGTTTATAAAACCAATTTATAATGTAAAAAATAATAAAAAATAGAATTATAAATGTTATGTGGAAATTTTTACTATTAGGTTGTAGGGCTGGGCGATATGGGCAAAAATTCATATCTCGGTATTTTTTGGCCGATTTGCGATATACGGTATATCTCGGTATTTTCATTTTTGTATTTGGATTTAAAAGATCTGTATTTAATATTCACTTACCGCCCAATGTTGTCCAACAAAACAATACATATTAAAGGCTATGAAAACAAATAAAGTGAATGTAACCATGTAAGCCTTTATATTATGTGCAAAAAAGGGTTTCATTCTAACATTGTAACATTGTAATCTAAAAACAAAAATAAGGCTTTTAAAGCGGAAGTTAAATTCACTAAACTACAAATTAAAATAAATGAGAACAAAAGCAAGAGTTGTGTTAGGCTATTTTAATTACCCCATTACAGTCACTTTACAGTCAGTGCTATCATAAAAATAGACTTACTTGTAGGTTTAAAATTCTGCATGTCACATTTATTGTACAACTACAAATATTTCAGCGAAATGTATATTTTAGTCATAATTATTGCGCTCCTGTTTAATTGAGCTCTTTCTGTTTGGCGCGCATACGCGCGACGGAGCTCGTTCACTGAAGTCTGTGAAGTTTAGCGGTGAAGTTTCTGCTTTGTTTCCCAAAGCAGAAGGCTCATGCACTTCTGACAGAAAAATGGAAATATTTCCATGGCTTTCTAACATTTACAGATGGAGAATATACCTGTGAAATGTAAGTTATGCATTCAGGAAGACAGCCCATCTCAAACACATTAAACCGCGCGAATAGCCTGTGTCTCTGTCAGCAGCACACGCAGCCTTTCTGTCCAAGCATCTGATGGGGCGAGCCGCTTAAACTAATATGCAAAACGAAACTATAAACTATGTCTTACCAGTTTTTAAAGGCCTTAATATGAAGCTTGTCACATGTTTAGAACAAATTGGATTATGCACTTTCTCCGCAGCAGCTCAGTCTGTGTCCTCCGCTATATTTTCAGATGTGCTCGTATCAAACTACTGTATATCGATATAAACGGTATTGCCTCGCTTATTAAGAAAATATCGATATATCGTACAAACTCGATATACCGCCCAGCCCTATTAGGTTGTGTCACACCCATGAATTGTTTTGTTGTGTTTTCATTCCCCATGTGCTCAGTGTGACCTAGTTTCCCCTCGTGTCTGATTGTGTCACTCTGTTCACCTGTGTTCTATTAATTATCCTTGTTTACGTTAGTATTTAAGCCCAGTCTGTTCAGTGCATGTCGTCCGGTCTTAACATTACCTATGTGTGTGTGTATCCTGCCTACTTGATGTGGATTACCCTTATGTGGATGTATTAAAGACTGTTTACCGTTACCTTCGTATTCGTGCGTTTCTCCTACACCGCACTGTGACAGGTATTTTTCTATCAATTATTCTAAGGTCCAAATCTCACTATTAACTATGACTTTTGCCTCAATAAACTCCTAATTTGCTGCTTATTAATAGTTAGTAAGGTAGTTGTTAAGTTTAGGTATGAGGTAGAATTAAAGGGGTCATATGATGTTGCTAAAAAGAACATTATTTTGTGTATTTGGTGTAATACAATGTGTTTCTGCGGTTCAAGGTTCAAAAAACACATTATTTTCCACATACTGTACATTTATTGTTTCTCCTCTATGCCACGCCTTTCTGAATCGCGTCGATTTTTACAAAGCTCATCGGTCTGAAAAGCGAGGTGTGCTCTGATTGGCTAGCTATCCAGTGCGTTGTGATTGGCCGAATACCTCAAGCGTGTGACGGAAATGTTACGCCC